AAAATACCTTCTCGTTTTCTTTGTAGTTGGGCGTCCGACCCGTAATCGGAAGCGGGAGCCGCAAGATTTCGCCTGGTAACAACCCCTTCTTAGGCCTAAACGCGATTCTGCCACCTTGTTCTTTCGCGCCGATGGAACAAAAATCTATGTTTTTTTTCTCTGCTCTCTATAGTTGAATGCTAAATCATATTCAAGGTGAAAGTCGCTATAGTAAGAAAACTGCTAGTTTACGACGTTGGCAAGACGCCCGACCCACCCACGAGAACAACAACACGTGTATCAGATGCAAGCAAAATCTTGCCTTGACGTTGACCAGAGGCACCTGGGAAGCGCATCGCCTTGTCAAAGAAAGAACCTACTGAACAATTTGCATATAGTCAGCAATATGTTGTATAGTGCCTTACATTCACACCTGCACAATGCCTGCGTAACTCAATTTTATAGAGTATATTTTCAAAGGTCATTTTCATTCTTGGGTGTGAAAACTTCCTTCAGTGTAGGCCAAGCGACGCCGTAATTTATGGCATTTTCACTGGGCGAATGACGTTTTCTTTTGTTTTCTTCATATTAAAGAATTATATGTTCTAGAGGCACAGGTATTGGCAGACAGACTAGTAGAAAGTGACTGAATGTCAGAGGCAACAGAGAGATTGTTCGGAATCTGTCATTTCTTTCATATAGAAATAAAGGGGTAAAACAATTCTTTATAGAAATAACACCGTACAAGCGCATGCAACAAATATTAAGAAAACCCACTATGTAAATAACATTGGAAACAAACACAAGCAGAGCCAAGAATGAGGATGTAAACAACAGAGCAACAGACACATGTGTTTGGTTTTAGACGAGAATAGATAACATTGTAATACAGCCAAATATGAGAAGGAGTTGTGGAGTTTCATTACCTGTTTACACGTAACCCAGGAGATGAAAGAGAGAAAAGAAAAGAGCAGAAACCGGTTTGAAGAACGGCTTCTTTTTGTAAGCCTACACATAGGAGCTTTATGCGTTTTGCATCTTATCAAGAAACAAAATAAACACATGCATGAGCTTGAAGACTGCCTGCGCGTCAAAGACAGACGTCATACTGCACAGCAGACGTGATATCAATTTATCTGTAGAGGGCATACGTGATGGGTTTGGTAATTAAGGTCCGGTTCTTCGTGAATACTATAACAGCAATATCACTGTCATTTTAGTTCATAATATTCTCGTAATGTAGAGGTAGTGCTAACGTTGACAAAAAAGCGACGCGGCAGCGCTACATCCGCGAGGCCGCATCTAATGAGATACCATGTTTTTGTTACATTCTCAGTTTTATTATATAACCAGTTTGATTTTGTTTATTTAAGCACTGTGACTTTATATATTGTAAACATAATATGATTCAGCCTTTTAAGATGAACCTCTTATTTATTAGATAATAAAAAATAAAGTTTTAGCTTGTCAGATTGACTAACAGATGAAAATAGTGAAGATTAAATGTTGCTACTTTCCTTCTCGTGCGTGGTATTCCAAGCATTATTGACACTACAGTCAGTCATCTGGGATGCATTTTCTACACTTACATACTACAAACGACTTCCAACAGATGGGAGCATAACTATATCTACATAGCACGTTCCTTTGTGCCCTGCTGATACATGGAAAACAGAAAATAACAAGATACCGAATACCACAGTTAGTACGTAACCCACATCAATCCACATAAAAATGTAACGGGTGACTTCCAAGCCCATTAAAGCGATGCACCTAGACGGCTATGGATCATTCATCATGAACAGAGAACCAGACAGAAGATGAACCAAATGTGTAACAAAGAACTCAGTGTACTCCGTCGCCTTACCTCCTGCAAGGTTAACATGTACACTATTTCGCTACGTTTTTTTACGAACGTCTGCCAATGCTCGCGCCGCGCCCGTAGTACGACGTTCTTTGTGTTCGAGTTTGTTTGTTTGTCTCTTTGGGTGTACTGGCGTTTGTTTGTATGTAGGTAGGCGATTGAGTAGGTGTATTGAGGAAGGACACATGGATTAATTGCACATATATCCTGCACACACACACACATTTATATATATATATATATATATATATATATATATATATATATATATATATATATATATATATATATATATATATATATTATATACATATACAAATATATATGTATATATATTTTATTATATATACATATACATATACTTATCTATCTATCTATCTATATATATATACATATATATATACATGTATATATATATATATATATATATATATATATATATATATATATATATATATATATATATACATATATATATATATATATATATATATATATATATATATATATATATATATATATATATATATATATACACACACACACGCACACACACATACATATATATATGTACACACACACACATATACATATGCATATATATATATATATATATATATATATATATATATATATATATATATATATATATATATATATGTATGTATGTATGTATATATATATATGCATATATATATATATATATATATATATATATATATATATATATATATATATATATATATATGTATGTTATATAAATATATATATATATATACATATATATATATATATATATATATATATATATATATATATATATATATATATATATATATATATATATGTGTGTGTGTGTGTGTGTGTGTGTATGTATGTACATTATGTTATATATCATGCATATTGTTGGACGAAATTGATCGACGTAAGTCTGCGACCCACGTGAATCAGCGTTCAGATTCACCGACTTTCCTCTAGTGCGACGTCGTCAGCTTAGACAGAGAGCGTCGACTTTTGCCAAGGCAGTCAGCTTTGGAGCCGTTTTCTGTCACGATGAACACTTTTTCGGTTTTAAGTGAAGCGGAAATAGAATACAAATTTCACACACACACACACACACACACACACACACACACGCACACACACACACGAATGCACGCACGCACGCACGCAAACACTCGCATACATTCATCTGCTGATCTTTCCACTCTGCCTATCTATTCATCCCACCCTCCATCCATAAACGTGGTTACATGTTTACAATAGTTATAATTAAAACATCATATCGGACACTTCATCGCCTATAAACAGTATACTGTAGTACTTGCATATATGTAGATGCATTAAATGTTATAAATTACCTGTCATTAGAAATTATTTTAGTTGAATCTTACTTCTTGGTGATAATCATGTCGATAATTAAAACAGGAAAATATGCCATGGAAATAGATAAATGTACAGTACATAGTATTACAAAGAACAGAACCCTTCTTCTGCTTCGTCATCAAAGGACTTCACAACAAATACTGAGGTGATGGGAAGGGGGTATCAATAACCTTGTCACTGCCAGGTGACGGCTCCCCTCCCATTATAAGATGTTGATAACATTTCTTTATTTACCCATCCTTGTCCACTTTCTCCTCATCGTATTTGGAACAACCAGAGACAGAAAGACAAATGGCACGGAAGCGTTAGAGTAGGTCACTGCCCGGTCACTACCTTACCTTGCTAGCCTGCACTTGTTTTTGCCGTTTCAGTCAGTTTTCCTCAAAGAAACAAAGACCATCCTAGAAGACTACGGCAAACATTGTTTTGTTTTTTTTCTTCTTTCGGCTTCTCCTCTGAGGGGTCGCTACCCGGAATGATCCGCATCATAGTCTTGGCTTGTTTTTACAGCCGGATGCCCTTCCTGCCACCAATCATATGCATATATATGTATATATATAATTCTTCCAGGCTTAAAACCGGCACGTGACATTCCACTAGATTGTGGACTCCCATGTCTGTGGTCAATCGAGGTGAAGTTCCTTGCCCAGGGGAACAACGCGCCGCCAGTGACTCGAACTCTCGAACTCAGATTGACATGACAGGCTTAAAACCATGGAAAACAATTGCCATACAAATTGCCAGTAAAAGATACAGTATTAAACACATTTCACGCTAATATGTGGAAGTGACATTGAATACAACCGGTGTCACTATGCATTTATTTTATCAGTACTCCGCCTGTTACGTTGTTTGATGTCAAAGAAAACCGTATTTTATTTACGAGCCGTTATTTGGAAAATAAATGTTGCTGAACTTTGTGCTGCAAAATCATCTTTCACCGCTGCGCCCTTGGACGCCCGCGTCACAGATCTCGCCTCCGAGGCTCCTGCCAACAGGACGAGCCAGACGAGATGGTCGTCGGTCGTCCCCATAGCGCATTGTTGCAGCGTCACGACGGAGCATGGCGGATTATAACCCTAGTAACAAGTCCTTCGTGGTCCGTGGCCCGGCACGTAGAGCTGCTCTTGCTAAAGAAAACACGTCTACCCCTTCTTTTTTTCTTTAACAAACAAATATATATTTAGAATGAAGTGACTGTATTTTACATCAACTGGCATGTCTCCAACTAGTTCTAAAAGGCTTTAGTCGCATATATATATGTGTGTGTGTGTGTGTGTGTGTGTGTGTGTGTGTGTGTGTGTGTGTGTGTGTGTGTGTGTGTGTGTGTGTGTGTGCGTGTGTGTGCATATATCCATATAATATATACATATATATATATATATATATATATATATATATATATATATATATATATATACATATATATGTATATCTATATACACACACACACACACACACACACACACATATATATATATATATATATATATATATATATATATATATATATATATATCCCCTTGGTGCCGGGTACGACGTGTACGTACGTGCTATGCCCACCGTGAGTACTTGTTTGATTGTTTTTACGCATAGATGGCAACACTTGTACTAAATCACCAATGAGCCAGTTAGGAGTACCGCCCGTCTCGCCCGTTTAGCCGTTTCTTTGATTTACAAAATATTTTACGTAATCTTATTTTGCTGTTACTAATGTTAAAAAACATTATAAGAATTATAATGTTTATGATAAAAATAACACCATCGATTT